ACACACACACACACACACTATATGTTGTTAAGTACTGTAGAGTCGGTTCCAACTCATAAATGACCCTGTATAGGGTCTCCAAGGAACAGCTGGTGAGTATGAACCGCTGACCTTGCAGTTCAAACTAACCTTATGATCGAGTGCTTATCATTGGCACCACACCAGGACTCCATATAAATATAGTTGTTGTTGATTCCGACCCACAGCAACCCTGTACAGGGCGCCACACCAGGACTCCATAAGTATGCATCCTTGTTGTTAAGTGTCGTCGAGCAGGTTCCGACCCATAGCTACCCTGTATAGGGTTTCCAAGAAGTGGCTGGTGAACTTGAACCACTGACCTTGCAATTCAAACAACTTTGCAGTCTGGTGCATAAACCCCCCAGTGCCATATATATATACATATATATATATATATACTTTTTTAAAATCACATGAGAAAGCTCTTCAAGTTGCCATTTACAATGCAAAGGTCAGTATATTCTATCACTGAAGATAAAGAACACACAGTCAAAGTAATACATGCCAGAGGGCTTCAGAAAGTTTGTGGAAAAATGGAATTATAAGACAATGGAATTTTCCACAAACTTGTTGAAGCCCCCTGGTTTATCCCTACTTTCCCAATTTTTATTATCAGACGTTTGGTAAAAAAATGAAAGTATTAAATTCGGTCAAGTCTCCCATGAAATAAAAAAAGGCAGATCACTTTTATGACTTAATTATGGTTTGTTTCTGTTACTAAATTATATTGGGGGTGAGGGGCAGAAGTATAGAATGTTCAGGAAATTAAATATTTAATTAATATTTAAATGATACATATGAGTACTTCAACTATTGAAAATAGTTGAAAATAAATAAATGATACATATGAGTACTTCAACTATTGAAAAGAAATTTTGTTTTTTAATTAATCTGAGTAAAAATCCACTCAGTTTCATAATAGTTATAAACCTCAGTATGATACTACAGAAATAATTAAGGGATTTGAATTAGGACTAAGAATTTTACTAGCTGCATCATTTAAATTTCAAACATTTTTCTATTCCTACATTTCACTGGCAAAATGAACCTTAACTATTAACTGTATTCTTCTGTATTATGCAAAAGCTGCAGAGCAAACTTTGATGTATGACACATTAAGCTGACACTCTATCCCAACATATGAATGGATTTAACTAATAGGCAACATTCATTTTCTTTTCAAAGATTTCACACAATGGCGACGGTGGGATAAAATATTTAGTAACAGGAAACTCAGGAAAACGGGGCTTATCTGATAGATGTCCTGCACTTAGAGCAAGCTGTAAGTCACAAAAATTTTGTTCATATTTTATTACAGTAGATTGCTTAACTTTCCGTAATGAATGGAAAAAGTCAAACACTGTCCCCAGGATTCTCTAGGATAAAATGAAGCTGATTTGCAAAGATTCTGTGGACAGGCTGACAGGCTCTCCTAATTTTATAACAAGGACAGTATCCTCCCCTTACAGGAGAAGAGTTGATTCTCAAGAATCAATTCTAACAGGCACAACGTACTGAGCAATGGCAATGCCTCTGTGCCTGACAAGAACTCGAATCCCAGTGGCTTTCCACTATCCACCACTAACAGTCACTCCTGAGCCAGCTTTCGGGACACGGGGTTACCTGCGACTAGCAGAGTGGGCACAGTCGATTGCTTAGACTGGAAAATGAATGCGTGCTCTTTGCAAAAAAGTTAAATAACACATCTTGTTGTTGTTGAGTACTGCCGAGTCAGTTCTGACTCACAGCGACCCTGTATAGGGTTTCTGAGGAGCAGCTGGTAGGTCTGAACCACTGTCCTTGCAGTTAGCAGTCCAGTGTTTATCCTACAGCGCCATACCAGGAGTCTCTCTATATGACCAGTAAACCCTCTATATGAATGGTAATGGGGGTGATCCACCAGCCGCTCCTCAGAAACCCCTTACAGGGTCACTAAGAGTTGCAACCAACAACATATTTGATGACTTTGATTCTGGAAGCCAGGATGGTAAGGCTTCATTTCGCATACTTCGTACATATTATCAGGAGGGATCAGTCCTTGGAGAAGGACATCATACTAGGTAAAGTGAAAGGTTAGCATAAAAAAAGAAGAAGACCCCCAAGAGAAAGACCCCCAAGTGGCAGCTGCAATGGGCTCAAGCTTAACAACAATTGTGAGGCCAGCACAGGACCAGGCAGTGTTTCGCTCTGTTGTGTCTAAGGTTGTTATGAGTTGGAATTAACTCAATGGCATCTAACAACAACAATAAACTCCCATACATTCTGTGTTTATTTCTAATGATGGGACTGCCATTTAAGTAAGTACTTCTTATTATGTGCCAAGTGGAGTCCTAGTGTGGCACTGTGGGGTAATGCTCTGGACTGCAATGTTTGGTGTGAACTGTGCAAGGTCAGAAGTTCAAGCTTACCAGCCACTCCTTGGAACCTCTATACAGGATCACTATGAGTCAGAACTGACTCAATGGCACTTAACAACAACATATGCCAAGTGCCTTAGTAAGTATTTATTTATACAGGCTACTATTTTTATTTTTATAAGATAGTCATATTCTCCACTTTACAGATGAAGAAACAGACCTCAGCAGGTGAGGACCATGTCCAACCGAAATCATAAAGATAGGTCAAGTTCAATGGCGAAATCAACGTTTCTCTCTGGCCTGAAAGCCCATGGCCTCTCTCTGTATACCATGGTACCTGAGGAAACATTAGAATTCTCTCAGATCAGCTGAGCTGGGCCCTGGCTAAAGAGTCAGCTGTGTGAGTACGGAAAAGAAGGCAGAGGCCAGAGAGAGACAGGCAGCACAGAATGTTCACAGAATGTCCCTATTCTCGACAATTTGGAAACAGATTCCATCCAGCACACAAATCTATACAGTTCAGGCTACAAAATGTATTCCTGCCAATTAATTTATACTTCAGGGGACATTTATTCTGTCAATTTTTGTTTTACCTTTTGCTCTTTTCTGTCATTTCCATTGTTTTAATAATTTTAAAAAAAGTTAGAGCTATGGCCTATTTACAAACTGAAATTGTCCTGTTTGGTTTGACGATGATACTGAAGAAATATACTTTTTTTCTTTTAAACTTGTGGGACAAAGACAAAAGTAGACTAAGCACATTCAAAAAGGATCAAATTGGTATTTCACTTGTTGTTGTTGTTAGGTGTCGTCGAATCGGTTCCAACTCATTGCAACCCTGTACAGGGTTTCTGAGAAGTGGCTGGTAAGCTTGAACAGCGGACCTTGTAGTTCGAACCAACCTTGCAGTCCAGCACATTAACCCGCAGCACCACACCAGGACTCCTGTATTCCACTAAATAAGCATTAATGCAACAGTACCATTTAGTGCACGCAAGGTGTGGCGCTGTGGGTTCATGCGCCAGACTGCAAAGTTGTTTGAACTGCAAGATCAGTGGTTCAAGCTCACCAGCTGCTCCTTGGAAACTCTATATAATACAGTCACAACCAACTTGACAGTGCTTAACAACAACAACAGGGATAAGAATAAGAAGTCACTTCCCACAGTCTAGTTGGAGAGCTAATTTACAAAGAGCTCCTGCAGCAGGAGCAATTCGTTCTGGTACGGGTGGACTCAGGAATGAGAACAACCATAAAAATACCCCCTCAGCCTCCCACCCCCCATTTTTTTATTTTGAATTAGGCCTTCCCTCCAAAATGCAATGCTTGATTGTTCTGTGTAACTGCTAGCTCATCAGACTTGAGGAAGGAGGGGTGACTGAATGGTCTGTACTCGATTCCAAAGGTCAGGACAGTGCCTGGTACATGATGAACTCTAATGGTCTTGAAATGAAGTAGCCTTCTATCCTCAGCAAGGCCAGTCTACGGACTCTACCCAAAATCATGTACAAAGCAGAGTAAGCCAGCCCAGCCCAACATTCAGAATTATTCATGGCACGCATAGAACTCACACACTGTTTATAAAGACAGAAGGTAAATGTTTTATTCCTAGGTATTAAGAGTTCTCTCTGCCACTTATAAATGTTGAAGCAGGCATTATTTTCATCTGATTTCTACGTGTTTCCAGATGTAAACAAGATATTCAGAGACTTCAAAATTTTAAGGATATATGTATGGCACTGTAGGATACGCACTGGACAGCAAGGTTGGCAGTTCCAACTCACCAGCCATTCCTCAGAAACACTATACTGGGTCGCTAAGAGTCCGAACAACAACAAATGTCTCTTCTACTTAGGAGACTCTGTTCCACCTTTAATCCAGTCCCTTCCATAACATTTTAAAATATGCACTCATTTCAGAAAAGGAAATAGATCTGAAGAGCTAGGAGTGTCTCAGGGAGTGGCAGCTGTTCCTGTTTGCAAGGGGCTTTAGTCTATGGAAGGACGATGTGGCACAAGGGTGCTAGAAGGAATAAAGAAGTCTAATTAAATATGAAAGGAGCCTTGTTGGTTTAGTGCTCAGCTGCTAACTTAAAGGTCTGAGGTTCAAACCCACCAATCACTCTATAGGAGAAAGATGTAGCAATCTGCTTCTGTAAAAACTGTTGTTGTTAAGTGCCATTGAGTCGATTCTGACCCATAGCGACCCTGTATAGGGTTTCTGAGGAGCAGCTGGTGAGCTTGAACCGCCGACCTTGCAGTTCAAACGGCTTTGCAGTGTGGCACATTAACTCACAGCGCCACACCAGCCTAGGAAACCAATGGGCCATTCTACTCTCTGTTACATGGAGTCACTGACTCAAAATACACTCGATGGCACCTAATGGTGGTTATGTGCCATGCAGTCGGAACCAACTCACAGAGACCCTGTACAGGGTTTCCGAGGCTGTAAATCTTTATGGGAGCAGAAAGCCTCATCTTTCTCCTGTGGAGCAGCTGGTAGTTTTGAACTGCTGACCTTAAGGTTAACAGCCCGATTCGTAATCACTACGCTACCAGAGCTCCTTTAGCAACTATTAAATATGGCCAAGAAAGAAAGAAAGAAAATCTCTGAAGCCTTTGTAAACACTTAACTAAAAGCCTAGTTATCTTAAAAGTCCCCCCCCTCTAAGAACTTCACTCAAGTTTTGAAGTTGCTCAAGAAACCATCTTCTTACCTTTTTTGATTCATAAGAAGCTCTCTGTGAAGATCTTGATGATTCCGGGAGGTTTTGACAGGATTGATTAGTTTCTGGGGCCGAATGAGTTCAGGATTGTCATCTTCTGTATAGTCTGGCTCAGCCATGATGCTTCTTGGAATGAGAAATGAGTCCTTAGGGTCAATCTCCTCAAATGGGATGTCTGAAACAGATAGGTGGGAAACAGGCATCTGTAATCTTTTCTTCTATGACTAGCGAAAACACAAGTGTCAAATCCAGTGCCCGTGTGTGAGTACACTCCTGGACTTCGCTGAGAGACCTGCTGCAGCTTTCTGAAAAGAAGAATGTCTGCACTGTTGTGAGCTGCCCATGACGAAAGCAAAGGAATCAGATCCCTGGATCTGTGTTTCTGAATGAGTCATGATCGATCACACTTTGGAGTTACACCTCACTTCCTTCCACCCTGTCTTATCTTAATATGAACGTCATCATCACTAGCACTTGGGCACCAGAAGCAGGTCCTTTATTGCTTCCTTCAGACTTAGCAAATTAGTAATGTGCTGTAAAACGTACCAGAACCTGACCTCGTACCAATGACAAGGGAGTCCTAGAGACCAGACCACTACCCTGCAATGCTACCGGCTGTCTTCCTTCTCCCCTTACTTAAGTGCCTTGTGGGCTGCATCACGTTCCTATCCTTCCAGATCGTTCCTCAAATGTCACCTTCTCAGACTGCATTGATCTCCTGAACACCCTGCTGAAAACACCGATCCCTCCCACCCCTACCCCCTTAGCACTTCTCTGCTTTATCCACACTGGATATTGAACTTATGTAACCACTCACTGCCCATCCACAGCATAAAAAGCCCTAGTGACACAGTGGTTAGATCACCCAGCTGCTAACCAAAAGGTTGGCTGTTCAAACCCATCAGCCTCTCTTTAGAAGAAAGACAGAAAGATTACAGCTTTGGAGTCAGATCAGCCTAATGGAACCGGTTTTGTTTAGGATGGCTCTGTTCCCATTGTCTAAAATACGCCTGCTACTTCATAAGGGTTACCGTACATACTGCTGTACATCATGGACTCGGTTCTGACTCGTAGCGACACCACACAGGGTTTCTGAGGCTGTAAGACTTTGGTCATGGTGGTAGTGTGCCATGGAGTTGGTTCCGACTCACAACCACCTTGCATAGGGTTTCCAAGGCTGTAAATCTTTATGGGAGCACAAAGTATCATCTTTCTCCATGGAGCAGCTGGTGGATTCGAACTGCTGACCTTGCGGCTAGCAACCCAATGTGTAAACCACTACATTACTAGGGCTCCTTGGTACATAATGTTGTTGTTACATGCTGTTGAGTCAGTTCATATATAATGGGCACCCAAAAAGGGAGTGCCCATTATGTACCAATGGAAAGAAGACAGGGAGGCTGGTTTGCAGCAAAAGCCTGCCTCCCCAGGTATTTTTTGGAAGGCGTGAGGTCAGAAGAGTATGTCAGAAATAACAACTTGACAAAATCACTTAACCTTTTTGGGCCCTGGACGCTTGGTCAGTAACGCCCTTTGTCATTACATCCAAGTGTGAGTCCCCTCCTCAGTAAGAGAAATTCCAGGAGAGCAGGGCACATGTCCCCTTCCTCCCTGGACAATGGAGCTAGCTATCCAGGGCTGTGGGCGAATAGTAAAGGGTGTTCCATCAGTGTGTTACACTTAACGAGGCAGGAGTAAAAATCAATTGTGGCACCACCTAAGAGAAACAAGTTTGGTTGAGCATCAAGCTAGAAGCAACCCCTGTCGATGCATCTGGTGAGCATCCAACTGCTACAGACGGACCTTCAGGCACATCCCTTGGTGCTGACTTCATCCCTGCTCCCCTGCCCTCAAAGCAAACCTGGAAAATATTTCAAGATAATTAACACACCATTTTAGGTTTCCCTGTCCTGGTATGATAATATTACTTTCCAAACCAAAAATCACAGAGTTTGATAACAGGGCAGAACACCTGCCATTGTACTTTGAAAATCCAGAGCACATGATTACTAATTCTCTGACTACTTCTACACCTACAGGGTGAACAAAGATCAGAGACCAGGGAAATGGGTGTGAGAGAGAGTCATATCTGACTGACTAGTTTTACACACAGTACTGTATGCTGAGCAAATAATCCAAGAAGCCAGATTACATGAAGAAAAACAAGTCATCAGGATTGGAGAAAGGCTCACTGACAACCTATGATATGCAGATGACACAACCTCACTTGCTGAAAGTAGAGAAGACTTGAAATACTTACTAACGAAGATCAAAAACTAAAGCCTTCAGTATGGATTACACACTAACATATAAAAAAAATCCTTATTATAACTAGACCAATAGACAACATCATGATAAATGGAGAAAAGATGGAAGTTGTCAAAGATTTCATTTTATTTGGATTTACAATCAACACTCATAGACGCTACAGTCAAGAAGTCAAATGATGCAATGCACTGGACAAATCTGCAAAAGACTTGTTACTGTTAAAAAGCAAAGCTGTCACACCTTGAGGACTAAGGTGTGCCTGTTCCAAGCCATGGTATCTTAAATAGCCTTGCATGCATGCAAAAGCTGGATCATGAATAAGACAATACAGGAAATTAATTGATGACTTTGAATGGTGGTATTAGAAAAGAATATTAAATATACCATGGACTACCAGAAGAATGAAAAAGTCTTCATCTCATGCAGTTTGGACATGTGATCAGGAGGGACCAGTCCCTGGAGAAGAATATTATGCTTAGTAAAGTAGATGGTAGCCAAGAAGATGAGGACCCTCAAAGAGAGGGATTGACAGAGTGGCTGTATCTCTGGCTCCAAACATAGCAACGATTGTAAGGATGCCTGTCGCAGGACTGGGCAGTATTGCATTCTGCTTACACAGGGTCACTGTGAGTCGGATCTAACTCACCAGCACCTGACAATAACCGACACCCTTCCCAGAGAACTTTCCAGAGAAATTTCATAGTCATTCCCACCTCCGTCTCCCCTGTTAACACTCTGTATATACATCCACCCCAGCCTGCATCCTAACATCCGTCCACCAATATCTGCGAGGACAAGAAGCACACAGTGCCTAGTATACGGAAGAAACAGGATAGACGTATGTTGAACTAAATTAAACCTGTCCTAAAATAAAAAGTGAAGCAGTCCTTCACAAGCAAGCTCCTAGGCTGAAGGCAGGCTCTATCAATGCTTTTTCCTGCCAATGGAGCACACATCTAAGTGAAGAAGAGAACGCAGGGACCATGCTTCTACCAAGGGAGGGTGATGGAGGTTAGAACTAAATGTTTTCCGCTAATATACAAGACAAACAAGTCCAGTAGCAGTCGGTGCAAGTAAAGGCAGGAGTGTGCGTTTCAAAGTCCTCGCTGATGTTTTCATGACTCCTAGTGCTGTTCCCAGACGCTGCTGGGCTGTAACGCATCCAACTGGAAACTCTGAACCAACTACAGCCAACAACGGTTGCAGCGCTTCAGACACAGCACATCAGGCAGGTGCAGAATCTCAGTTCCTCACCACCACCCACCCCGTGAACAGAAGACGAGAGTCTGCGCTTCACCGAAGAAAGAGCGGAAATAAAAACCAAATAACTTACCTATGCTTATACTGCTAGGAGCCGTACAGCTGAAACTACAAGGGGTGACCTCAAATGTCGACCAAATATGATGCTTGACATTTTTAAACAAAATCTTTTTAAATATTAATGTGAAAAATCACAGGATTAAAATCCAAAGAATCAATCAACTAAAATGCAAGCATTGAAGATGTGTCATCCTTTTAGAAGAGGGGGCTTCAAAAAGTCTGTGGGGAAAATGGAATCCAAGGATCATGGAATTTTTCCATGAACTTTCTGAAGCCACCTCAGATATATTACCTACATGATTAAGGATCCAAATTACAGAATGATCAGATTTTAAATATATACACAAATTACATCAACATTCCTGAAAAGGTATTGATCTTTTAAATAAGAATGCCTGCAACCTTCACCAAAATGACAAAATCACAAACCTTGCCCGTGGTCTGCCAGTGACCCCATCACCTGGTTTTCGATGCGGCCCCACATGAAAATGTGCTCCTTGGCTGAAATGTTAAGTGCATCCACACCTCTGTGGAATTACAATGATCTTTATAAGCATATGCATCTTCATTCTAGTTAATCAGTAGACAAAGAAGTCAGAATGCTTCCATAAAAGGACTGGTTCCTCTGCCCTGGATAATCACCATGACGCCAAATCAAAACAGATCACTGCCCTCCCCCAACCCCACTAAGATCACTTACAGCAGGAGATGTGCAAAGAATGCCTGGGCGGCAGCTGCCCCACCTGCACACACTCCCTACTCCCTGCACACCAGTCTGGGGCCTCCACCACAGCCACTGTTCTGGCCCTGCTCTCCCCTGAGCTCTCTCTCCTCCAGCATCCCGCCCACCTTCCTCCAAGAATCATAGTATTTGCAACTCTCTGCCTGTCTTAGAAACAAAACTCTACTTAGTTACTACACAGGGATTCAAGCATCTTCAAAATTGCTGTAAGAGCCTCCTAAATATCAGTTGCTCTCTGCTGAGGTGGTATGTTCAATATGATGCATTTCATCTCATTTTCTCCAATTACCAGGTAGAGTAGTTCACTACAGAATTTTAACAAGTACAGAAAAATGGGAAGGAAGTCAACTGTTTGGAATTCTACTGTTCTAAAACATCTGGTGTGGCACAGTACGATCAGCACTGGATGAGAACCACAAGTAAGCAGTTCACAGCCACCAGCTGCTCCTCGGAAACCCTATGGATGGCACCTAACAACAACATCTCAGTAAATTCCTCCTAGTCCTTTCTCGTTACGTGAGTATATACGCACAAAGAGATCTGTTGTTGTTGTTAAATGCAGGCAAGTAGGTTCCGACGCAGCAACCACAGAAACAGACACTGCCTGCACCTAGCTGTTGTTGTTGTTGTTAGGGGCCGTACGCACAAAGGAACAAAACACTTTCCAGACCTGCGTCATCCTCACAATTGTTGTTACATTTGAGCCCACTACTGCTGGCAGAGAAACAATAAACAAGCAAATTATATAGTATATTAACCCTGCCCACTGCTTTCCTGTTGATTCTGACTCATTATCATACCTATAGGACAGAGGAGAACTGCTCCACAGAGTTTTGGGGATTGTT